AAAAAAAAAAAAATTAAAAAATAATGAGATTCAGAGAAAAATAATGTGCAACTATATGGATGTTTCAATTCCAGACAGCTTAAATATAAACTCACTCTCAGGGCACTAGCAACAGTCAGCCCCACTTTTTTTAACTACTTAGATTGACAGCTACTGGCTTTTTCTTCTCTGTAGCGCTTGCACAACAGGTTCCTAGTCTATGGCTAGGACTCAGTAATACTGAGAGAGAGTCTACTGCAACATAAAAACAGCAGTGATTCTGACTTAAAATAATCATAATTCATTAGGTTTTAAGAGACCTCAAAAGGTAATTTAATGCAACCCCATTTCTATTAGTATAAATCTGCAGTAAGGCAATTGAAGCGAATGTAGGAAAGTGGCAGCAGAATCCTATACTAAAAGTTATTTCAAGCTTTGAACAAAGACATGGTTAGTGTTTTCAGACTGTAAAGGTTTCATCATTTTTAAGAGCTGGAAGGGAACTTACAGATCAAGTTGTCTTAAAATGTCTTTATAATGTACACCAGGGGTGACAAACTTTTGGCTCGGGTGCCACAAGTTGCATGGGTAGACTAAAGAGAGGAGAGGCAGCACAGTGGCAGATAGGGCGGAAAGTGTATCAGATCAGGCAGGAACAGGGCAGGAAGCAGAAAACAGAGCAGCAGCGAGGTCAGGGAGTACATGGCAGGGAGCAGAAGGCTGAGCAGCAGATGAGGTAAGGGAAAGGGATCAGTGGGGCACTCTGGGAGGAAGCACGGCTAATTTGTGGCATACCTGCCAAAAAGGTTGCCCCCCACTGATATACTCAATGGCATTTTAAATGGAGCCTTTGCTACCTGTTAAAGACAATGTACTCAAATTTGATACACTAAAGAAATACCTAGGGTATTAAACAGACCTATTTTTCTAGGCGCTGCCTTTCTAGTAGAGCTTTTCTCAAAAAAGGGGTAAGTATAACCCTCGGGGATATGTGGAGAACTTCTTGAGAACAGGCAAGTGGAAGGAGTATGAAAGTAAGAGGGAAGAGGAAGTATAAACAGGAAAAGAAAGCTAGAAAGGGAGTGGGGAAGGAAAACTAACTCTACAATCTCTCCTAGGTTGTCAGACACATTAGAGCATAACTGCAATGTTATAAGATTCCTTATCCATAACACCGAGTCACAGGGATACACTGCAGAGTAACAACCTTAAAATAGGGTACATGACCCAGAAAGTTGGAAAACCACTGTTTTTCTGTATGTCACTTTGTGCCAGAACTGAAAGTTTACTCTTTAATTTTGCCTGTTCCCTAGCTGCCTAGTGACTCTTCCTTTTATGCTGAATGCGGTGCATGGTGGGTTTTTCATTATACGGTTAAAATGCATTTCAGTGGTCTGTGTTATATCTTCTAGAGTGTGTGTATATATATATATAATCTATCAGCAGGCATACTGAACGTTCCATTTACCTTACAACATGGATAAACTAACATGAAAATATACCCAGTAAGTAGTTTGCTCTTGTCAAGCCCTGTTGAGTAAGTTGCCTGCATCTTATTAGGATAAAACTGCTTTGGAGCCCTGTCTGAATGATAAAACGTGCAGGCTCTCCTGGAATATACGATGATTCAGCCAGCCTACTCAGAGATAACTTCCCTTGGAAGCCTCCATTTAGAGAAAGAGAAAAAAAAAAACAATCTCAGAAATAAGTTTGCCTTATCCTAGCTTTTGTCCTGTCTATTTCTGCCTCTTGCCCACCTATTCCTTTCATAAATGTGAGGATTAGGGCACTGATAATCTTAGAATCATAGAAAATGAGGGTTGGAAGGGACCTCAGGAGGTCCAGCATTTTACAACCCCTGGGTTGTGACTCAAAAGAAGAATACATGAAAGGGTTGCAAACAAACTTGAAAAGTAGATTCTCTTTTAAAGAAGAAAACCATGGGAAACTATGGGTTTTCCCTTGCAGGCTGGCAGAGTTCCAGCCTGCCAGCATACCCACTCCCTGCCCCATACACTGGGGGGGGCTGGGGAGTGAGGGACACTGGGTTGAGACTGGCCATCAATGGTTACAAATGGGTCCTGGCACCAAAAAGGTTGAGAACCAACTGATTCTAGTCCAATCCCCTGCTCAAAAGCAGGGCTGTCCCCAACTACATCATCCCAGCCAAAGCTTTGTCTACCCAGGTCTTAAAAACTGGTAAAGACTGAGGGATTATGAGGGATACTAAAGTATTTGCAGCCCCTGTGCACCTCAGTGGGGGAAGAAAAGGTGCTGTAACCCTGGCTACGTGCAGCTTATCCCTGGGAGTTACCCAACACTTAGAGAGGAGGGACCAGCCCTGAAAGGAAGGGGGACAGTCAACATGCGCAAATTGCCCACTCTTAGTGAGTCCCGAAGGACTTCATGGGAATCTCTGTAGTCCAGCGCAGCATTAGCAAACAGCAGCAGCCCCGTTCCCCAGCAAAAGCTCTTAAGTGTTAACTGCTGGCTCTCACTTCTCAGCCCTGCCGAGCAGCAGCTTAAGGGTGAGGGACCCCAAAGAGGAGGGGGAGGAAAGGAGGTAGAGGAATGAAAGGAGCCTGGGCTGTATATTCCGGTGAGGCTGGAGAAGCCCTTCTCCCCCCTACCCCTCACAATCCAAGCAGGGGAAAGGGAGAAGTGTCAGCAGTAAGATCTACAGCAGGCAAGTCACGGGCTCCATCCAGCAGGTCCTAGCGCCCAGTCCCAGCTTGAGGTGTGGACTGGGGCAGCGCTGCCAGGTCTTAAATATGACATTATCACACTGGAAGCTCAAAATGATTGTATTTGCTCAAAAACTAGCCTACACTGAAAAACAATAAACAAATAAGTAAGTAAGCCTTATTTATTTTATGTTGCTCACTGTAACTTGCTAGCCAGCGAGTGAGAACTGGACCACTGAAGTGGAAAGCATTTCTTTATTTCAAGGCAAGCAGTTGTAAAAAAGTGCTGACAGCAAACCCAAAAATCACTTAAGACTCCCCGAGAGCGACTTGGGCTTTTTGCACAGGCTGCATCAATGAGCTGCCTCAAAAGTGACCATGCATTTTGAACACTTTTACTATTGTTGATCCTACAAGGGTTGAAACGATCGTACAAATAGGATCATCGTGCACCTGGCAACGCTGGGCTTGGGGAACTGGTCAGAACTGTGCTAGGACTTTTTGATGGGTGGGGAGGGGGGTGCTCCAGGACCTCAGCCTCTTAAATACTCTCAGGAGGGCCGGTCAGTCCTCTAGGGCAGCAGTTCCCAATCTGTCCTAGGCATCCCACCAGCGGTACACATTAACAAACCTATTAATCACTACTGATTTAAAATTGAAGACCTAGTCGGTTACCTACATACATGAAAAATTTATTGGCGGTACTTAATGTTGTATGGTTTTAAACTGGAGACGGGACTGGGCTCATTTGGTCTCAGCAGTATTCCCGCCCACAGCAAGGGGGGGGGGACGATCTTTCAAGGTCCCATCCAGCTCTGAATTTCTATGCACAATCTGTCAGAGTTTGGGAACCCGCTGCTCTAAGGCTACTTAACTGCGGGGGGAGGGAGGGAGGGGGCTACCCCTGTGCTTTCTTGCGGGGAAACTTGGGCTGAAGTTTGGCGGGACGCGGCTCTCGGGCAGGGCAGGGGGCTCCCGGCTGGGCTAAGCGGAGGAGGGGCAGGTACCTCCTCTCGCCGTGCAGCACGTAGGAGCTGCGGAAGAAGCCGAGCAGCTCGTTCTCGATGAGGGCGCTGTAGACGATCTTGAGGTTGTAGGTGCGGCGCGCCTCCAGGCTGCGGTTGAGGACCACCACGAAGACCTGAGTGGGCGGGTGCAGGAAGAAGCCGGCCACGCGCAGGCCGCCCGCCA